ATACAATAATAAATGTATACGTTAATACAGTACTGTTATAATTTACCTCTATTTTACACAATGTGGGGGGTTGCCAGTTGGCAGTGGGCTTATTTTGGTCTTGATTTCATTTTCTTGTTTCTGTCGTGAGATCTGGCAACACTGCTTGTGGTATGAATGTAGCCATCCTGTTATGTGTGGAGTGTTTTATAATCCCATGAGGGCTGAGCACCTGGCTGAAGGTGTTATGACACTTTAAACATGTAAAATCCACTTCTTTGAGTTTTATGTTATAATGTTATCCTCTCATCAAAAACCTGCCCAGAGTCTTGCTTTTACTCATTCAAGCATCCTGTGCTGTCCTGAGGCAGCCAGGCAGGGGAGCAAACATGATCGGTTGGGCCTAGAACCGCCTTTTGGGACCAGCTCCGCCTCTGGGCTGTGTCTCCAAGCTGAGCTTCCTCATCACAGAGCACACACACACCTACCTGACCTTGCTGAAATGGGTGGGACAGAAGCGGAAGGAGGTTCTTAAAGAGACAGAGGCTAATTTCAAGGCGTTTAGAAACAGATATGATGAGAAGTCAAGTTTCTTTTCTATTTAAACATAAAAACAGCATTTTAATAACAACTGAGGGTGACATAGATACTTTATTATGGTATAGAAGTTAAATATATGCCTGAGAAACACATAATATTGCTCCTTTAAGGAGTTTGTAAGTGTAATTTATAAGTAGTGCACAACACAGGGAGCAGCTAACCATCTAACGTCTCCTCTTTGTGCAGCTAAGGGACGAGGAAAAAAGAAAAAGGGTGCTGTCCCCCCTCCTCTCCTGCTCATTCAGGATGCTAAGATAACTCTGGTAAGGCTGCAGGATCGAGTTTCTGCTCTTCTCCTTCGCAGCCAAGCCCCCTCTCCCCCCACCCCCACACGATGCCCCAGCTCTCTGCCCAACTGGACAGGTGCTGCCCTCCTCTGGCAGAAAAGTGCACTGTTGGACGGAGACTCCACCTGTCAGTCTGATTTCTATGCTGCAGAGCTCAAACAGTTCTTCACATCCTTGGAAACAGTTCAGGTAAGAGAGAGATTTCATTACATGTTAGATCTGTTCAAAAGAGGTTATTTGTTGTTTTAGGTGTTACAGTTTCATGTTTATATTTGGTTACACAAATGAATTTGCCTATTTAGAACTCAACACAGCAGTTACTCTTGTGTCTACATTTTTCTAATTAAAATCAAAAATTTCCCTTAGCCAGAAATCTAAGTGTGAGTCATAGAACACGTGTATCCACTCTGGTTTTAGACTGATGCAGCTCCATCCACAACCAGCGACAAACCTGAACTTTTTGATCAGCTTGTAAGTGATGGAACTCCAGTTTCAGGACCGGGGGCCAACGTCCCACCATCCTGCTCCCAGACGGCCTCCTTCTCCTCTGCTTCCTCCACTCTTGGAGCTTCGCATCTCTCAGTTGGCAGCCAAGCCCTCAGAGACCTGATGGAGCTGGCTGAAGACGGCATGACCCTGACACAGTATGGATACACTTCTAAAGGTAAAGCACAGAGATTCACATTAATCAGTGGAATGAATGGATGGTAACACTTTATTAGAATGGGTGTGCATAAGACTGACATGATACTGTCATAAACACCATGTAACACCTGTCATAAACATGATGCAACACCTGTCATAAACATGATGTAACACCTGTCATAAACACGATGCGACTCCTGTCATATAAACACGATGCAACACCTGTCATATAAACATGATGCAACACCTGTCATATAAACATGATGCAACACCTGTCATATAAACATGATGCAACACCTGTCATAAACACGATGCAACACCTGTCATATAAACACGATGCAACACCTGTCATAAACACGATGCGACTCCTGTCATAAACACGATGCGACTCGTGTCATATAAACACGATGCGACACCTGTCATATAAACACGATGCGACACCTGTCATAAACACGATGCGACTCTTGTCATAAACACGATGCAACATCTGTCATATAAACACGATGCAACATCTGTCATATAAACACGATGCGACTCCTGTCATAAACACGATGCAACATCTGTCATATAAACACGATGCAACATCTGTCATATAAACACGATGCGACTCCTGTCATAAACACGATGCAACATCTGTCATATAAACACGATGCGACTCCTGTCATAAACACGATGCGACTCCTGTCACAAACACAATGCGACACCTGTCATAAACACGATGCGACTCCTGTCATATTAACACGATGCGACTCCTGTCATAAACACGATGCAACACCTGTCATAAACACGATGCGACTCCTGTCATATTAACACGATGCGACACCTGTCATAAACACGATGCGACTCCTGTCACAAACACGATGCGACACCTGTCATAAACACGATGCGACTCCTGTCATAAACACGATGCGACTCCTGTCATATTAACACGATGCAACATCTGTCATATAAACACGATGCAACACCTGTCATAAACACGATGCGACTCCTGTCATATAAACACGATGCGACACCTGTCATAAACACGATGCGACACCTGTCATAAACACGATGCGACACCTGTCATAAACACGATGCGACTCCTGTCATAAACACGATGCGACACCTGTCATATAAACACGATGTGACACCTGTCATATAAACACGATGCGACTCCTGTCATAAACACGATGCGACACCTGTCATATAAACACGATGCGACACCTGTCATATAAACACGATGCGACTCCTGTCATATAAACACGATGTGACTCCTGTCATATAAACACGATGTAACACCTGTCAAACACGATGTGACTCCTGTCATATAAACACGATGTAACACCTGTCAAACACGATGCGACTCCTGTCACATAAACACGATGTGACTCCTGTCATATAAACACGATGTAACACCTGTCAAACACGATGCAACACCTGTCATATAAACACGATGCAACTCCTGTCACATAAACACGATGTGACTCCTGTCATATAAACACGATGTAACACCTGCCATATAAACACGATGTAACACCTGTCAAACACGATGCAACACCTGTCATAAACATGAAGGAGGCTGCATGAATGTTTATAGCTGTTGTCATTAGGTGTCATTCAGTCAAGTATGACACATTTAATGCTAAGTTGTTATTGTTTAAAATGTATTTGTTCTGACAACTTGACATTGGTGTGATATGATATATAAACTGAATAGAAATGGTAAGAGATGCTTTTTTATAGTATTTACAGACTCAAATCAAATGCCTATCTCTGTCTTTATTTATATAAATGCTTACAAGCAGTCGTTTTTCCATTAAATATTAATTACTCAACACGCTACAGACACCACCCCCACCCACTGCCCATAATAATGTATACCCTAGTATTTTCTARATGTCATGCCACCGTATGAAAATGAGCAATACCACCCAACTTGCCCTTGGTCAAATTACACAGGATAACATTAGGAGTATAAAATGATTGTGTGGTGGGGTGGCAACAGTTAGGAAAAATAATTCAGTCAAAATATTGGGAGAATCAGAGGAATAGAGGTGGTGAGTAGGAGAGTAATGGTGAATGGGGTGACTTGACCACTAGGGGTGTAACAATACACATCAACYGACATTGATTAAGTGATTAATGATTCACTTACACACTTACACAGGACAAAATCCATATCGTCATCAAATGCCCATCTAACCAAACTTTGAATCATGTTGATCGCAGACTTGTTCATTGAATTCAAATTGCATCATGATAGACTTTGTGATTTTAAAAAACATCTAATCATCCAAACACATTGATAAATATTGTATTGTAAAACCGGTAATTTACACCCCTATTTGACCACCAATTTTAATCCTGATCGTCTGGGTCTCTGCAGAAACTGTTTTAAGTGACATCATCCAGGAGGTGTCGGAGGATCAAGCTAAACTTTGTGTCAGTGGTTTCCTGCCAGAGACGCACAAACCCTCAGATGAGCCCCCCAGATGGAGGGATAGGTTGACAAATCAGGCGGAAGCAGACCCAGAAAGAAACAGCCAAGGATCAGTAAGACACTCAGATTTTTCCATTAATGATATCTATACATATGATTGTGAGATTTTATGTTGCGTAACTTAAAGCTTATCTTGAGTTGTAGTGTTTTTTRAATCTAAACACAACTGAGTAGGTCCTCTGGACAGTTTTTTTGTTGTTGAAAACATTTTTTCTCTTCTCCTCAAGACTTCTCCAGAGGACCTACTCAATATTTGTAGATTTTTCTACCTGAACTACTGAGATGCATCAGGACATGTTTTATAAATCCCTCCACCACGGTCCTCTGCTTTGGTACATTTAAATGAGCTCAGYGTGTTGTTTTGTTGTTTCCACTGCAGGCTGCGCTGTCCAGTCTCTTGTCAGACTTGAGCAGCATGGTGAACAACCCTCAGCTCAGTGATGTGCAGCTTCAGGTGGACAGYGGAGAGGTCTACTTTGCTCATTCCTTCATGGTGTATGCTCGCTGCCCCCTGCTGGCAGAAATGGTATAAAAACACAGCATCTTAAAATAAACTCATGTTCAAAGAATTATTATTTCTGCTATGGCTTGCATTATATAATGGCATTAGTTTCATTTAAATTGTGTAATTATTTATTAGCCTTTAAAAATGTGCCCACTTTGGCTCAAAGTAGGAAAAACTCAAAGAAATGAAGCTCACTTTACTCTTATAAAGTGAACTTAAATCACGCTGTATTTAGTTTACCAAAGAGTTTGAGTCTGAACTGTTTGACTCGCTGTTTAGTTTAAAATCAYAACTTTAACTTGTGACTTTCTGTGCATCATTTCTGTTCTCTGTGCCGCTCACAGGTGCATGAAAGTGGGATTGGTGTGAAGGAGGAGGACATGCCCGGAGCTCAGAGGGTGTTACTGAGCGACGTGCCGGGCCAGGCAGTGTTCGCTTTGCTGCAGTTTCTCTACACCGCCCACTGCTCCATCCCAACATCTCTGCAGCCTCACATGCTAGAGCTGGCGTCCAGGTTGGTTTAATACTCAGCAGGGATGTAATGATACATGTATTTGTGATGTTTAGAATGATTAATGACAAATATGTCAGTCACAGGTGATCAACGCTCCCATCTAAAAGCAGGTATTTACCGCATCAGTCATGATAGAACAGAAGCAGAAGACAGTGCTACAGACTGATTCAGAAAAACATGCAGAAAGTTAAAAACTTTATTTGTTTACGATCAGCTGTGACGTTCATTCTTTTATTCTTTCTTGTTTAGAGTACTGTTACGCTGCGTCCAGACCAAGCGTGACAGTCTATGCTGGTGATGCGGCGCATCTTTAAGCCAAGTAGGGCTGCCACAAACAATTACTTTTATAATCGATTAATCACCAATTATTTATTTGATTAGTCGACTAATCGGATCATATGATAATTGAATATAAACAAACAGCTTATCGTGCCAGAATGCAGCTGCTATTATATAACCATGGTTAGATTTTAGCTATATGCTRACTAAAAATAATTRCTGTGGAAGGTAAGTTCTGCTCTGCAGATATTACACAGGTTTCTCTTTCATTTTCTTAAAATGATCCCACACTTTGAGCTCTGTTGTCAGGTAGCCATGATACCAGAGCCTGTCTGTATAATGTCTTGTGACGTCCACGGCCTACCCCAGTTACCACTACTGTGCATGTGTGTCAAGGACAGAAAGGCAGACGTGGCAGTGGAAGGTGTCAAAGCAGTTTGGAGAGAAAAACAAAGTAAAAAAATAAAAGAAAACGATTAATCTATTATTAAATTAGTCATCGATTATTTAAAAAATCGATTAGTCGTCGACTAATCGACTAATGGTGGCAGCCCTAAAGCCAACCCACTCTCAATTTCATCTACCAATGTACAGAGACCGGCAAAGGAGGAAAACAACCTAGAGCCTCCTTCCAGCATGCATCTTTCCACACTTAGCTTGACATGCGTCTAGAGCGATTTAATCGTCTGACCTCAAAGTAAAATGTGTTTGGTCTGAACGCAGCAGAACTCTTTTTTTGTGTTTGAACAAATCTACTGTCTGTTGTTTACAGGTTACAGTACAGAACGCTGCAGCAAGGCTTTAACATGTGCTAACRGAAGGGCTCACATCACACCAGTTTTATCCTCTTAACACTGGCTTCCTGTCAAATTCAGAGTTCATTTAACAGTTTTAGTCTGACTTGTAAAGCTCTTAATGAACAGGCCACTCAATATTTTACAAAACTGTTGACTCCTTWCTCTTCTGGCTGCRATCTTTGGTCTTCATGCCAACATCTCATGAAGGTTTCTGAAACTGGTGGGGACGTGTCCTTTCAAGCAAAAGTCCCTAAGTTGTGGAACGTCCTGTCCCTGTGTCTCCATGTGGCTGACTCTAGCTGCATTTCCATTGCAAATGTGCACAAAACTTTATTGATATTCTGTTAATGTCGAAAAACACAGTTTYGCAACTGCTGTGTTTCTATTAAGTTAGAAACGCTATTAAAGTCACGCRTGAATACGTTTGTTCTCATGATAAGTCATTACAAACATGGCGGCGATGGATATACAGTGGTTTGCAAAAGTATTCATACCCCTTGAACTTTTCCATATTTTGTCACATTACAACCACAAACATAAATATATTTCACTGGA